GCTTGCCACTAATGGCCAGGGGGCTCTCTCACAGTCCCTTAAAATTTCCCGTTTCGGTTTCCTCATGTGAAGCCAGAGACCATCGGCCCTCTCTTTTTGCCATAGATGTTGTATTTGTTTTATTCTTAAAAATTGGTCTCTTTTGTTATTGTACCACTTTCATATATTTCTCATGTATACCCCCACCTAGTGAGCATTCCCTTGTAATATAGATACTAAAAGAAAAAGATAGAGGAAGAAAAAATAGTTCTGCAAAACCAGCCAACACATCAGTTGCCTCTGACAATATATGCAAGATTCCAAGGTGCTGTGAACTTGAACTATGCACACATTGTGGCAAAATTTCCCTTTTCTGTCTCTGAAAATTCCCATTTAGAGTGCATGCTTTCTGGGCAGTCTCAGTTCTGATAGAGTGATTCAAACCTGCATGACCACCAGGCTTCTGATTCTTACCATATTCCATTAGAACCATAACTAAGGTGGGAATAACCAAGGTTTTTTCCCAGGGTGCCAAAATTCAGAGGGTACTGATAGCATTTACAGTCCTTTGGCAGCATAGAAGCAACTGGCCTTAATGCCTACTTAGCAATAATAATTAGTCTTCAAATAAGCTGCCCTCCTTCGCTCTCAGCCCTGACCCACTCCTACCCCTGCAACTGTCTCTATTGCATCTCCCTAGGTGATCTGTGGGAGTGTCCTCCCCTCTGATCTGTCTGTCATTACAATCCTTAAAATCCATTACATACAGGCTCCTACTCAACATCATCCTTTTGTAGCAACACTACCAAGTAAGCTTTTGGTGGCAGGTATATGAGTGTTAGTCTGTTCCTTAATTAAGAATGTCCTTTTTGCAACTAAATTGGCCATATCACTTCTGTCAATTAAGAAACAGCCTGGCTAATCATTTACCAACACCAACTACCTGTATTGTGTTCATTTTGTGGAATATTACTTTGGAGTGCTGGTATTCCAATCATCATCTCTTCAGGCTACATTACTGAATTCATGACCCTTAAGGCCAAAAAAAAAAAGTAGCCATCTCTCAGACCAATGTTTTCAGTTTTGTCACTACTGTAAATACTGCCCAAGATGTGGGGATCCTATCTGTGTCAAGTGTCATTGCTGTCTGTGACACCCCAGCGTAGAAATTACTGATCTGAGGGCATTTGGTGCCATAACCCCAGGAACAAGTCAGTGAGAATTTATTAAGCCCTTTCTATGTGCCTGGAACTGTGCTAAGTGCAATGAAAGGCAAATACAGTCTTTGCCTTTGAGGTGCTCATACTTTAATAGGAGAGAAAACTTGCAAATGAGTAATATGTGTAAGATAGATACGGTGTAAAGAGGAGGTAATCTCAGAGGGAAAGGCACTAGCATTGAGGGGGATCAGGAGTAGATTGAAGGTACAAAATTAGCTAATTATAGCTCTGGACTCGCCCTCCTCTTTGATCTGTCATATAATCCAAGATGTCTCCTACTTACCATCATCCTCTTGTGTCGCCACCAGGTATGCTTTTGGTGGCAGGTACCTGAGTGTTAGCATCTGACCCTTATGTAAGCACATCTTTTTTGCAATGAAATTGACCATATCACTGCTGTCAGTTAAGAAATAACCTGGCTAATCATTTACCAATCACCTGCTTGTGGGAATTCAAAATCCAAATATGAAAACAGCCAGTGGAGTAGTACATGCAAAATGGGCTGCTACAACCTCTTGTTGAGGGCTGAAAGTAAAACATTAACAGTCTGCCAATGTTGATTGGTCTTTTTAGGAACTATATTGGAAATTTTCCACGGGCTCCAATAAGCCATCTTCTTGGTCTGCCGCCATCTTGGTCTTTCACTCGTATGCTGTTTATGTTCTTGCAAACTATTAGTTTGAATGAAGTGCTGTTACTATTTTGAAAGTGCCTCTGTGGATGAGCAGATGGAGAAAAGGTTCCAAAACTTTTCAAGTGAAAATTACCTGAGTCAGCTACTGAGGTTGAGAGGCAGCGACAACTGTAGGTGGCTTGTAGGATGATTGAGGAGGGAGAGAGGGAAGGAAGAGAACAAACATTTATTAAGCACCTACTATGCATAAGTGCTTTACAAATATGATCTCATTTGATCCTCACAAAAATCCTGGGAAGTATGTGCTATTATTAACCCTATTTTACATTTGGGGAAACTAAGGCAGACAGACTTGCCCAGCATCACATAACTAGTAAGTGTCTAATACTGGATTTGAACGTGAGCCTTCCTGACTTTGGGCCCAGCACTCTATCCACTGAGCCATCTAGCTCATTGGGACCTACATTTGGAAACTTAGCTTTTCAGAGATAATTTTGAGTGCGTGAGTATGTGGGAAGCACTAATTAGAGGTGAGCTCTGAGATTGGCCTGGTTTTTGATGCAAGCGTCACATGCTTGGTGAAGAGCAGTTGATCTTGGCACAGGCAGCTACAGAGATCATTGGTCTGAATCTTCTGCACTGAATATGGAAGAAAGATAAGATCCTTATTCTCTCTTATTATTCAAAAATCTTTAATGTTGTTGTTATGATATACTGTGTTCCTAATTTAAAGATCCTGGGAGCAGGAAAGCATGCTGATAAAAAATTCAGAAAGAACAGGAAGGGCGGGAGGGAGAGAAGGTGTGCCAAGAGTTCATAGATAATGAACTCTCTAAGGACAAAGGCTGTGTTTTATTAATCTTCGTACCTCCCTCAGTGCCTATCATAGTGTATTGAGCATAGTAGGCGGCAGGCGATTAATAAATGTTTATTGCATGAATGAATGAGCTGCTGACCTGGCTGACTAGCATTTTGAGTATTTCAAATGCCTGTAGACTTCCAAAAAGGGGAGTCCAGCCAAGGACTGCGCACAGGCCAGTGATCTATTAAAATGGCGTTCTGTGGTCATGGATTCATCCAGTCAGGATCTGTGATCATCCTCATCTCATTCAACCTGTTGAGGAACCTCTGGCATAATAATCTTTACCTCAGTTTTGCAGGGGTTTTTTAATATTTCATTTTAAAAGGCACATGGTGACATGTCAAAGAGTGACTGGTCATATAAAAATAGTATCAGTAGTACTAAGGTTTAGAATGATCTGAGGGCAGCAAAAAGGGCAGCTGGCTCCACGAGCAGAATGAAGACCGAAGGTTGGAGATTCCAGAGAAGTAGAGGTCTTCTACACAGGAAAGCACTAGGCCATTACCCAGATGGTACTAGACTGATTGTTTAGTTGTTTTTCATGTCCAATTCTCCATGACCCCATTTGGGGTTTTCTTGGCAAAGACACTGGAGTAGTTTGCCATTTTCTTCTCCAGCTCATTTTACAGATGAGGAAGCTGAGGCAAACAAGGTTAAATGACTTGCCCAAAGTCACACAGTTATTATGTGTGTCTGAAGCCAGATCTGAACTCAGGAATATGAGTCTTCCAGGCACGGCACTATCGACTGCACTACCTAGACTAGTTGACCTCCTACTTAATCTTTCTTTTTTTTTTCCAGTTCTATGTACCAAAAATTGACTATACTTTTTGGAGTAGGTCAGGTAGAAAGGGAACTGATTCATCATTCTCTTTCACCCTAATATTCTATCCACAACAACCTTCCATACCCATGAGCCATTGTTTAGTGTTATTACTTAACACTTTCCTCTCCATCAGGCTACCTTTTTATTTACATTTTTTCAGTTAATAATAATTTGTTTTCTCTCTTTCTTATCTCCCCTCAACTAAAAAAAAGAAAAGAAAAGAAAAAAACAAAACCCTTTTAATAAGTATGAACATTCAAGCAAAACTCATTCCCACTTTGGCCTTGTCCAAAAATGTATGTCTTACTCCAGAGGTGTCAAATTCACAGCCTGTGGATTACTAAAAAACTCCAAAGTTTGTCTAAACCAGATTAAAATGTAATAAGGATAGATATTTATCAAATAAATAAAAATACAATTTGTAGTTTTTGAAGTCCACATGCGGTGCAGGCATCCGTTTCTATTTGAGGTTGACACTACTATTATTCTACATCTTTTAAGATATCTTCCAAAATTAAGAAATCATCAGGCTCTCTATTATTAACTGTATCCTACAGTGTGCACTTATGTGTTCATCTTGTGGAATATTACTTTGGAGTGCTGGTATCCCAGTCACCATTTCTTGGGCCTAAATTATTGAATTCTTGGCCATTAAGGCCAAAAAAAAAATGTTGAAAATGAGCAGTCTCTTTTGTGTTGCTGCCACAAATTGTGCCCAAGATTTGGGAATCGTGTATCAGGTGTCATTGCCACCTGTGGTACCCTGGTGCAGAAACCTAACTGGTATGGTTGTTTTTTCACCATTGCATCTATGTGATCCAAAATGGCACCATAACAATGAAGGTGAAAGTAATATAATTAGTGGTTTGTCCTCAGTCCAGAAAAGCCTCTGATATCCACTGGTAAAATGAGCTTTGTGAGGTCCTGCTGTTATTTCTCATGACATTTAAGAATTTTGTCCAAATTCAGGTTTGGGAATGTTCCATTTCTAACCATTTTTGACAGGGTATTCATGCTTATTAACCTATAGTCATGGCTTTGTAACTCCCAGGCTCCTAGCTTAGGATTTACAGCAGTTAGTTAGTTTATTAACTGAGACCAGTTAATGTCTCATACTCTGCTTTTTAAATTTCGTGGTTGTGGTCGTCATAAGTTTGTGGTATTAAGGAGAATGTCCTTGTATAAATATCTCTGTGCTTCTCCCATGAGAAGCTTTGAGTTAATTTGGAATGCAGTTTGATAGAGGAATTTGGTATTTAATAATTGCCAATTGGCAGAACAGAGCAATTGGCAAGAATAATCATGACTGAAACCTCAGTGATTTGCACATGGCAAAGAGAGGAATTTCCTCTTTGCAGTATGTGTATGTTTATATATGTATGTGTCTATGTGTGTGTGCAGGTAGGAGGAGTGAAAGAAAGGGAATTGTTCCCCTGCTGAAAACAAACTGCTGAATTCTGTCCTTTCTTCCCTTTCCAGAAAGAAGACACAGTTCCATGTGTAAACCTTCTCCCTCTCCAGCATCACCACCCTCCAATTCCAGGACATCACTGTTACAAGTGAAAGCAAAATCCTGTATCAGCGGCCATAACCCTGTCAGCAGCAACGCAAAGCCATTCAAAACGCCCAAAGACAATCTACTTACCTCCAGTAGCAAACAGCACACAGTCTTTTCTTCGAAAGCATCAAGGGATAAACCATGGTGAGTCGCTGGGTGCTGGAAACACCAAACTCTTTGCTTGCCTTTTCACCCTTATTCCTTGTTACCCTCACACTGAAACATGGTGCTTACTTTTTGATTAGGCATCATGTTCCCAGATTTAGGAAAATTAAGAGAAAAGAAGGAGAATCAGAATGATGTCCCAGAATTAAAAGTCTTATTTACTTGATGTGGGAAATTTTTTTTCTCCCCTTACTGTGGCCAACTTATGATTTCTCATGCTAAATAATAGTATTAAAAATTCCATATGAAAAGCAGAGTGGCATAGTGAATAGGGAGCCTACCTGGGAACCAGGGAGATCTGGGTTTGAGTTTTACCTCTGTAATGGACTGGCTGTGTGACTCTGGGGATGTCCCTTAACCTCAAAGTGCTCCAGGCAGTTCTCTAAAATGATAACTCTCAGAAAAGGTGCTGATTTGCACTGGGAGGAGGAGTTTCCTCATCTGGGAAGAAACCTATACCAATGAAATCTCAGGTCAGGTCCCTAGCCCTAGCCCAAAAATTCCACAAGCAATCTTCCCCAGTGAGAAAAAGGTAACCCCATTACAGAGAGTAAGTACTGACCCACTGGGCTATAGGGACCACTGTCATGATGGAGGCTCCTCCTCTACTGAGAGAAGCTGAGTCTGAGGCTATGCTTTATACTTGAACCTTTCTCTGGCATGAACTATGGGATCACATCTCTGATGGATACTCGTGATACAGACCAGAAAAAAAAAACTGGTGTGTAAGCCAAAGATGACCAAGGAAAATGTCACTCCTTTGAAAGAAAGTGAATTACAAATGCCTTTGAAAATGTAGAGGATGGTGTAATTTTTTCACCTCTATCTTTATGAAAAATATTTTACTTTGAGTGGTTAACTAGAACAGGTTCCCTCCATGATGGGAAAGTAGGAAGAGCCCACTAGAACAAAAAAGAAAGTGTTTGAAGAGTATCTTCAAAAGGTATTTCCTATTTCCATGGGCGCGATAATATGCATTCTAAGATGCTTAGGGAACTAGGAGAGATTTATTACAGAAGCCATAACCCTCAACTTTGGGACTTTGTGAAAGTAGTATGAGAAGACAAAATACAAGGCCTATTTTGGGGGGGGAGGGAAGGGGGGGTGGTCCGCACAGTTTAAGTAAAAATGACCTCAATCATTATGAACCATTAGGCTGAACATCATTTGTAGAAAGATAGTAGAATAAATCATTTGTTAATCGATTTGTAACCACAGGATTTTGATAGTAAGTAATTTGAATGCTTTAGTGAAGAGCTAATCATTTTCAGATCAATGGAATTTCTTTCCATGATAGAAACACAGATTGCATAGACGATGGAAAGTTAATAAATGTCCTACATCTGCCCTTTACAGTAAGCCTTTGGTTCTTTCCCCGTACTGTCCTCATTCACAAGCAGGGAAGACACGGGCCTGTGGTTCATGCTTTAGTTCAGAGGACACACAACCGACTGAGTGGGTCACACTCAAAAAGTGGCTGTTCATGGACCTAACCACCACATGCATGTAGGGATGAGTCCTGTAGTTATTATTACGTATTATCTTTATCAGTGTCCTGGAGGAAGGAATGGAAAGAAATGCTCATTATATTTGGCTAGAGTCAGCACTGCTGGTGCCTTAGATGATAGGACAGTAGAGAAATGGACCTTCAAGAACAGAATGAAGTTTAATATAGAAACAAACATAGGGCACTATGTTTTAAATCCACAAATGATGAGATGAGGCTGGCTGGGTAAATGTAAAAAGAGTTGAAGGATTTCAGGTGATCACAAGTCAAATGAACTGACAGTGTAATCCTGTTACTAAAATGTTAACATAGTAGCAAAACACAGTAATAGAAGTGTGGGACACGAAGAGCGAGGAAGGAATCCTTCCCATGTAGTAGCTGTTAGTCTAACCTATTATTTCCAATTTTCAGTCTCCATTTGGGGGGGCGGCGGCGGGGGGTGCGGCAGCTAGAGTTAAGTGACTTGCCCAAGGTCTCACAGCTAGTAAGTGTCAAATGTCTGAGGTCAGATTTGAACTCAGGCCCTTCTGACTCCAAGGCCGGAGCTTTATCCACTGCACCACCTAACTGCCCCTCCACTTTTTTTTTTAAAGGATCTATAAAAACTGGAGAGATTCACTTGAATTCTACAAATATTTATGAGCACCTACTGAGGGCAAACCTAGAAAGTGGTGACAAGAATTTTCAAAAGGGTGGAAAATAGATGCTTTGAGGAAACAGTTAAGAGAACTGGGTTTCTTAATAATAATAGTAACTGGTATTTAGGTAGTGCCTGATAGTGCCTTAAGGTTTTAAGGAGCTTCACATGTGTCATCTCATTTGATACCTGCAAAAATCCTACAAACAAAATTCTGAAGGTATTATTGTCCCCATTTTACAAATGAGAGAACTGAGATAGGGAGCTGTATTAGATGACTTGCCCAAGGTCTCACAGCCAGTAATTGTCAGAGGCAGGATTCAAACCAAATTTTCCCTCATCTCCAAGTTCATCTCTCTTTCCATACAGCTCTGCTGCTCTTAGACTTAACATAAGGAAGAGAAGGGTAATGAATAGGTGCAAGTTTGTTATAAGGACAATGCTGACCTGATGACCTTCGAGGCTGAACCAGATGAACCCATGAAGTCCCTTCTAACGCTTTGATTGTGTAATTTCACTTTAGTTCACTGAGCTACTGATAGGAGGAAAGCCTCTAAAATTAATATTCTCTAGCAAGAAGTTGCATTCCTCAGTAATTGCAAAAATACTGTTCCATGGTTATGCTTAAGGGAATCTAACCATGACTGGCAGTGAATGAGAAGCATGTAGGATTCTCCCCACTCTTGCACAAGCAGTTTCATTAGCCTGATATCTCAGCATCAGAAGAATGGTGTATACATAAGAACAGCAGATAGAGCAATTAATAAAAACCATTTTTAGACCAAGGGATTGTAAAATCTAATTTAGATATTCCAAATGGAGAATTGTATCAGCTTTCTGAAAGCCATGACAGAATAAACATGTCTGAGGGTGGTTGTCCATGACCTTAACCAATCACAGCTGGAGGTAAAGGGACAGACTTTCTCAAATAAATTAGAACTATTTATGAATGAAAGTGGTTTTTTGTTATGCTAAATTCAAGTTGACCCCCCCCCTTAGAATTTTTTTCCATGAGCTTAAACAGTCTGTGTAATTTTATTTTGGGCTTAATAGGTTAAAAAATCCTTACCCTTTGCTGCTTTAATGAATCCACCAAGGCAGAATTCAGCTTTTCCATACCTCATACTATGTGATTCTTTCTCATAGCTTTCTTTAAATCCTCTTTAGAGAATCAGTCAGTCAGTGAGTATTTATTAAGCATCTTCTGTGTACAGGACACAGTTTTAAGCATGGGGGATACAAAAAAAGGCAGGTATCCTTTGGATGGATATCCAATGCTGTGTAGGCCTTCCTGTGGATCTTTTATTACCACTTATGATTGTCTCATTCTTACAACCTAAATTGACTCATGTTCTTTTCCATCAAACATATCTTTAGCAATGACTTTTATACCACTTTTCACTCATTGGTGGTAACATGTTAAAACTTACATATACCATATGTTTTTCTATTGCCCTTTGGGTCCCTTGTAAGTTTGATTCTTCTGAGATTGTGCTATCCCATGATTCCCTGGTATATATCAGTGTTCAAATGGATCTGTGATCCTGTTTGGAAATTCCTTCCATCAATGCAAATTGCAACCCATCTACTCCTGCCATCCTAGGTGATTCTTGTCCATGTGTTCCATAGGTTTATCATGTTGGTCTATGCAACATGCTGGAGGCCTGTTTCACTTTCTCTTAACATTACAAGGGTGCTAGTGGAGCATTCTGCCTACCCATGTATCATCCCTTGCCCTCACCATGACCATCTTCTTTTCATATCATACAATTTCTTAATGATGTCTTTTCTCTTATTCTTCAGAATTTTTCATGTATTATATTCACAACCACCTTTGCCTCTATGGGATATTCATTTTTAATTTTTTAAATAATCTTGTATTCTACCATATGGAAACAGCAAGAGAATGTTTTGTCAGTCAATTAACAGGCATTAAAATGTGGTCATTTGCTTTCATGGGATCCTCAGGATCATTATAAAGGAGCTTTGAAATTTCTCAAAGGCAATCCATCATGGTCTCCTCTCATTCAGCTCCAGCCCCAACTTGTCTATTTGTACTGTCTATTCCAAATATATTTTTAGAGAGATATAATAGATATATATGCACCTGTGTATATAGACATATAGAGAAATAGATAAAAATGGAGAATCTTTATAGTGTTATCCATACAGATATACATCATAATCTGGGCAATAGACATTCTTTATCCAATTGGTCTTTCCTATGGATAGAGAGGCCAAACTACCTTGAGTCATTATAGCTCTCTTCTAAAGGATTCTGCAGTATTCTGGAGCTTGAAGCAATCGGCACAATGTCATCTGCAATCAGGAGCATCTAGGGGACTTCCCCTTCTATGGGGAATCCTTGTTCAGCTCGAATTCTTTGTTAGATCTCATCACAGTGGCAGATATGTTGGTGACCATTTGTTGTTCAGTTGTTTCAGTTGTATCCAATTCTTTGTGACCCCATTTGGGGTTTTCTTAGCAAGGATGCTGCAATGGTTTGCCGTTTCCTTCTCTAGCTCATTTTACAGATGAGGAAACGGAGGCAAACAGGGTTAAGTGACTTGCTCAGGGTCAAACAGGTAGTAATCGTCTGAGGCTGGATTTGAATGGAGGTCTTCCTAACTTCAGGCCAGGTGCTCTTATCCACTGTGCCACTAGCTGCCCTCGGTCACCATTCATAACCCTTTTGTTGTTGCTGTTGCTGTTGCTGTTGTAAACATCATCTGATGTTTACAGTCAGAGTATTGAATAGGGCTTTTTCTGTAGTAGCAGTTTTCAAGGAATCTTCAATAATTTTGGTGTATGGGTAGGAGCCACCTTGTTATAAAA